AGCATTCCTAGTGCAGCATGTGGTATGACAAAAACAACATGCGGCGTTGCAAGCGCTGCAGATGTCAATGCAGCATTGGGCGCTTGCTAAACTACATACACAACACGGGAGACACAAGCATTCCTCACATTCACCTCAAGCACTACAGCATATGCATGTAGTACATCACTCATTCTTCTCCTACATCAACTCGGAAAGATTTTATGGCGTCCGTTGATGCAACAAGTGTATGTACGCATGCCTTGTTGCACGTATGTAAGTGCGGTGTGCCCTGTGTTTGTCCTGTTCTTGTCTGGGTTTAGGATGAAGTAGCCGGTGGGGGGGGGGAGGGGGCCGTGGGGGCGCAGGACACAAGCTTTGAAGCCTAACCCCAACAAACTGAAGCTCAACACCCTAAACTCTGAACCCGAACCCCAAGTACAAATTCATTCTGAACAGTATCGCCCAGGTTTGGCAGGGCCCCCTGGCAGACCATTGCCCTCTGCACACTTGTCTGTTAGGCGCCGCAGGTAACCAGATTGCCGGCCGTTTTCTGCACTATGCCAAGCTCTTGGAAGTTTAGCGCTGCACTAGTCTCCGTCTTCCCTGGATGACGAGGCAGAAAGCAGAAAACAACAGCTAAGTCTAAAACACGCATCGGAAAATACGCCTCGCTGGCTCTTCATGGGCTTCCGGGAAGTCTACGCCCCATGGACGAGAAAACAGAAAACTTGACTGGCCATGTTTTTGGCTCAGTCTTCTTGGGTCTCCTGGCTCAGGCAAATTTCAAAAGCCAGCACCAAACTGCCCCAAACCAAAGCCACTTGGCACGAGTATGTTGACAGTGGACTGGCAATGGACAGTAAGTTGGGCAAGCTTGTTCGAGACTTTTACCCCCGGTTCCATGTTCACGCAACAGGCTCGGTCAGCAGGACTTCAATGACATTTCGCGGGCTTCAAGCTCCAGATGGGTCCTGTTAAGTCTTGTCGGTTACATCATTGCAATGCATGCTGACTCTATGTGTCTGTGTGACGGTCCGCCCTGCCGGTCTGTCCGTCTCCGTCTGTACCTCCTGTATGTACGTGTGAGTGTGTGTGTGTGTCCGCGCATAAAAGAAAAATAAATATGGAGACAGATATGTATGTACGCATGTATGGACGCATGTGTGCATGTATGTGTACAATATGTGCGCCTGTTGTCAGTGTGTACGTATGTCGTTATATTATTTGTAATGTTGGACTGACTTTAGTATAAGAGGGGTCTATAATCACAAGTTTCGAAAACTTATTCAGCGAACCGAGTGTGTTCGGGGTACCCGCTATTATCACAAGTTTTTTTCCGGACGTGTTTTTTTTGTTTAAGGGTTTGTGTTTCGGGTTAAGGGCTTACGCAGTAAGGCTTGGCCCTGAGGGTCTTGGGCTCCAGGAATCCTAAAGAGCCAGAGCGCGGAGAATCCAGAAATCTAAGCGCGGCCAGTCCCCCAGAGGCCACAACTGGCTGAAATGGGCCCAAAATTGGCTTCCAAAGCCCAAAATTGGCCCCCAAAGCCCAAAAATTAGCCCCCAAAGCCCCCAGACCCCCCTCCAAACTCCGGGAGGCCCCAGAAGGTCCTTATGGAAATTCATTACGAAACGAGGCCCCAAACAAATTTTGTGACAGGTAGCCCACCTGCCGGTCAGTAAGTTTGTCTGGCTACCCTTTTCGGATGGGGGGGGGGGGGTGGGGGGGGGCGGGGGGGGGGCGGGGGGGTGGGCGGGGGGGGCGGGGGGGGCGGGAGGGGCGGGAGGGGCGGTGGGGCGGGGGGGGCGGGGGGTGCGGGGGGGGCGGGGGGGGGGTGCCGGGGGGTGGGGGGGTCTGTGTTGTCGTCAGTACTTACACATTGACAAGAGGGAGCACGCTGACTAGAGCTTCGCGATCATGTGCAACAAGCCAGACAAAGGCATGGATGTGATACATCGGACATATTTCTGAGCGGGATGCACGATGCGTGTATGCACAAAGCATTGCCGCACGAGAGCAAGTTCCACGTGTCTGGTTTCAGAGCATGCCCACAAGAACACGCATGCATATCTGCCACATTCATGACTCCAGCTACGTTAGTTGACATGGTGTTCTGACATTTCTTCTGCAACTGCCACATCATGTTTGATGTTCAACGAAGTGGACGTTAGTTTGCATCACCTCTCCCTTTAAAATTGATTCTGCCGTCGTCATCCTTTGGTTCCGAAAAACCGCCCAGAAGCATGCCACGGATCGGCCCATTACAAGAAGAGAGGCTCCGAGGCAGCATGAGCAAAAAAGAAGCTTAATTACAAAAAAAAATGCGCAGTCGCCAAAGAAAAAACGAAACTCGCAATGCGAGTTTCTGGGTGCTGGGCCGGTCTCGAGAGGTCCCAACACTCGATGGCCGCCCCTGATCAAGCGTTATCATGGGAGTTCACCCCACACCTTGCCCTGATTCTTAAGAACCAGCGCCTTGCTATACCACGAATACCCTAGCTGGGAGTGTTGCAGCGTATGACAACCCTCTACGAGAGATGCAGATGCATCCAGGATGTGGAGAACTCTCACTTTCCCAACCCAACACGTCTCTTGCAGCTTACAAGATGCTGGCAATTTGGGCCCCCGATCCAGCGCTGTTTGCATGCGTGTGGGATGATTTTCGGAGAGCATATATTGTGCGCATTGCAAACCGTTGCTGTCGACGGGCAGCAACATAGTAAGAGTTTGCGAAATCCGGACCGCTAGCCCATAGCTGGTCGCTGGGCAGCGACGTTATGCCTCTTCTAATTCCGTCCAAGCCGTCGAAGGTATTCTATACATAGGACGATTGGCTTTCTGGTTACGGTTTAAGCACGGCCCCGCATCAATCGCGGGGAGGGTGAGGGAATTCCTGGAATTTCTTGGACAAGCCGGCCTCCCTGTCTCTGTCGGGATTCAAGCTCAGCGCCTTCGAGGCAGTTTGCCGGCCTTGGGCAGCCGCTGTTTCTACTCGCGTCTTGCCGAGCGGTGTTCTGACTGGGACGCATGCCGGGAGCACTGAGGACCGGGGTAGTTCCAGCTCCATTGTTGGAGTTCTTCACCTGGAAAGCGCTTCGTTCTTCTTTTGAAAACTGTTCGAATATCCCTGAGCTGCATCACTTGTGGTGACAACGAACACCCGCCTCTGCAGCGCCCCCGCGGTTGCGCAGCGCCTGTGACAGGCCCATGGAGCCAAGGCTCCTTTGCTAAGAAGATCTCTTGACTTCGTGGCTCTTTACAAAGGCCGTGATAAGGTGCAACAGCAATGTCGAAGGACGATCCCAGAACCAACCCACCTGCGCATGCTGACAACTGCCACCTTTCAAGTCAAGGGAGGAGGTCTTGGGTCGAACCAAGCTGTTGCCATGACAAACGGGGCCTCCGAACTGCGCCCTTCCCTTCCACGCTTGGCAATGCTTAGCATTCCCCTGGTCATAACTTAAGCCCATTCGTGGTAGGCACACGAGCCTGCTTGAGTTGGCTCTTGTCCTGGAAGGTCTGATGAATCGAAGCTTGACATCCTACACGTCTAATTCTGCCGGAAGAGAAGAGTGCAGAGCATCCCCACAACTGAGATCGTAGATTCTCGGGTTGGGCAACCGGGCAGGCCAGAGGGGGTATGTCATGTCAATGAGAGTCTGGACTGGACTCTGCCAACTGACTTCTGCCCCATCCCAACAAATCGCTGGTGGCAGCGGAGCCGTCCTTCTGCAACGCCTGCCGCCCTGCATCACAAAGTGTTGGTGAGCTTGGGTGGGCATCAGACTGAAGCTGCGAAAAGAATGCTTGCGGTCTCTTGCGATTGTCACGCTTCCCGTATCCGCAAGAAGTTGAGTCTTGTCGTAGAAACATCGTGCCAAAAGGAGTGCCGAGGACTGCATACTAGGTACAACAATGCTGCAGAGCTGCATGCAACAAATACCAGTGACTCTGTGCGCATGATGGGCAAGTGATGCAGAGGACTTGCATACCCATGCACTATACAAGCTAGCAAGCACGAGGCACCTAGGACCAACTAGGACACACACACACACACACACACACACACACACACACACACACGAGCATGGCGCTTGCAAGGGTGCCTGGAACAGGCGCGCACGGAGCGGATGATGGAGCCTGAATCAGGCTGGGGGCGAAGCACTATTGGACACTCTAGTGCGGGCGCCGGGATTTTCATCATAACAGATGCTGACAGCACCATCTGGCACCATGGCGTCTCCAGGACGGCAACATTTGCTCTGTTTTAACACAGCGGCCTGTCGTGGGGTCATCCCTGGCAGCTGGCCGTACAGAGTCTGCATGCTGCCTGCGATTTGGGACGAAAACTTCCGGCTCCAACCCTGCAGAATTTGAATCGAGAATGATTTGGGGGTTTTCGAAAATAGGGGTACCCGGGTACCCTTTTTGGGGGCTCCCTTAAGGGGAGTCTATTTTTTGGAGGGTATAAAGGGGGTGGGTACCCCTACTTTGGGAAGTAGCAATTTTGAGGAGGTTCTCATACTGCAGCCCGCCGCCTTCCATGAACTTCTGGACGTAGCTTTGGATGGGCATCCGTTCCTATGCTGATCTCATGATCCGGCCGTACCCCTACAACCTTGGGCACTAGACTCTTCACAGTCACTCTACAGAAATGCAGTATCACTGTATCACTCTCCCGGGTCCCTCCGCTCCTGACCGCTTCTCGCGGCGGTCGGCATGGCTTCAGTGCGCTTCCAGGCGAGCACCGGCGACTACGTCTCAGTACTTCACCGGGGGGGGGGGGGGGGGGGTGTGGTCCTCGGGTTGCGTGACACTGTGAGCCTGTTGTGCACTTGGTAAAGCTTTCGAAGTTCGCTCATGTGGACATGTTGCCCAAGCCACGGCTTGCAGCGTCGGTCGAGCTACTTTCGTGGGCATTACACAATGCATCAGAATCACGAGACTCTGAAATCTCTAAGTTTTGTGATCTACCGGTTCGTTCTACTGTGGGACTACTGTCTTGAAGTGTCCACTCGGCCTCCGCATCATTGACGCACAATGAGTAGAGGTCCTGGTGGAGAACGACTCTCACATCGCTCCAACTAGTGACAAGTGCCGAATGGTGCTGAGATATGTCACTCCTGTACCGTGCATGGGCCATGCACTCCCTATTTGAGGCACAAGTGAAAATTCTGGTGGCACGCGGCCGGATGCGAAGGGTCAAGCCAGCCTCGTGACGAACTCATCCTGCTGAATGCCCGAGCTGCCACATCGCTCCCACGCAGCATGCACAACAACGCCACTCGCCACTTCCAACCCGTCACAGCACTGCAAGCGGCCACGCCCGTTGGAAAATGCGGCAAGCTACGTCACCGCGCGGCATGCGGTGTACAACCGGGTCTTGCGCGTCGTGTCACCTCTTCAATGTGTGGTTGTCAGGATCAAAGTCTTTCTTGAGCCGATCATAGCCCGAAGGCTCGGACCTTATGAGAAATGCGAATTCATCCTGCTGAATGCTCAAGCCCCCAAGCAGCATGCACAACATGGCCACTTTCAGCCCGTCACGGCGCAGCAAGCGGCCAGGCCCGTTGCACGCCCACTCAGATGAAAAGAATGCGGTCACGGCCGGCAAGCTCAGACTTTACGAGTTTCTTGTTATGATACATCACCAGGCGGCCTGCGGTGCACAACCGGGTCTTGCGCGTCGTGTCACCTCTTCACTGTGTGGTTGTCAGGATCAAAGTCTTTCTTGAGCCGATCACAGCCCGAAGGCTCGGACCTTATGAGAAATGCGAATTCATCCTGCTGAATGCTCAAGCCCCCAAGCAGCATGCACAACATGGCCACTTTCAGCCCGTCACGGCGCAGCAAGCGGCCAAACCCGTTGCACGCCCACTCAGATGAAAAAATGCGATCACGGCCAGCAAGCTCAGACTTTATGAGTTTCTTGTTATGATACATCACCAGGCGGCATGCGGTGCCCAACCGGGTCTTCGCGTCGTGTCACCTCTTCAATGTGTGGTTGTCAGGATCAAAGTCTTTCTTGAGCCGATCTCAGCCCGAAGGCTCGGACCTTATGAGAAATGCGAATTCATCCTGCTGAATGCTCAAGCTCCCAAGCAGCATGCACAACATGGCCACTGTCAACCCGTCATGGTGAGAAATGCGAATTCATCCTGCTGAATGCTCAAGCCCCCAAGCAGCATGCACAACATGGCCACTTTCAACTCACGGCGCAGCAAGCGGCCAGGCCCATTGCACGCCCACTCAGATGAAAAAAAATGCGATCACGGCCAGCGAGCTCTGACTTTATGAGTTTCTTGTTATGATACATCACCAGGCAGCATGCGGTGCACAACCGGGTCTTGCGCGTCGTGTCACCTCTTCACTGTGTGGTTGTCAGGATCAAAGTCTTTCTTGAGCCGATCACAGCCCGAAGGCTCGGACCTTATGAGAAATGCGAATTCATCCTGCTGAATGCTCAAGCCCCCAAGCAGCATGCACAACATGGCCACTTTCAGCCCGTCACGGCGCAGCAAGCGGCCAAACCCGTTGCACGCCCACTGAGATGAAAAAATGCGATCACGGCCAGCAAGCTCAGACTTTATGAGTTTCTTGTTATGATACATCACCAGGCGGCATGCGGTGCCCAACCGGGTCTTCGCGTCGTGTCACCTCTTCAATGTGTGGTTGTCAGGATCAAAGTCTTTCTTGAGCCGATCACAGCCCGAAGGCTCGGACCTTATGAGAAATGAGAATTCATCCTGCTGCACAACATGGCCACTTTCAACCCGTCATGGTGAGAAATGCGAATTCATCCTGCTGAATGCTCAAGCCCCCAAGCAGCATGCACAACATGGCCACTTTCAGCCCATCACGGCGCAGCAAGCGGCCAGGCCCGTTGCACGCCCACTCAGATGAAGAAAAATGCGATCACGGCCAGCAAGCTCAGACTTTATGAGTTTCTTGTTATGATACATCACCAGGCGGCATGGGGTGCACAACCGGGTCTTCGCGTCGTGTCACCTCTTCAATGTGTGGTTGTCAGGATCAAAGTCTTTCTTGAGCCGATCATAGCCCGAAGGCTCGGACCTTATGAGAAATGCGAATTCATCCTGCTGAATGCTCAAGCTCCCAACCAGCATGCACAACATGGCCACTTTCAACCCGTCACGGCGCAGCAAGCGGCCAGGCCCGTTGCACGCCCACTCAGATGAACAAAAATGCGATCACGGCCAGCAAGCTCAGACTTTATGAGTTTCTTGTTATGATACATCACCAGGCGGCATGGGGTGCACAACCGGGTCTTCGCGTCGTGTCACCTCTTCAATGTGTGGTTGTCAGGATCAAAGTCTTTCTTGAGCCGATCACAGCCCGAAGGCTCGGACCTTATGAGAAGTGCGAATTCATCCTGCTGAATGCTCAAGCCCCCAAGCAGCATGCACAACATGGCCACTTTCAACCCGTCACGGCGTAGCAAGCGGCCCCGAAGGCTCGGACCTTATGAGAAATGTGAATTCATCCTGCTGAATGCTGGTGTGCCACCTAGCTCCCAGGCAGCATGCACAACAGCGCCACTTTCAACCCGTCACAGGTCCACATGTTGCCAAGCTTGTTGCGCACCCACTTAGATGAGCAAGTTGCAAGCTCAAACTTGTTGAACTTCTTTCTTTGACACATCAGCGTGCAGCATGCAGCATGCTGCATACAGCCGCTGATGCCGCTGTCCAGCAGTTTTATTCTCTCTCCGTTGGCCCTACTCCGCCTTGCTCTGCACCTTAACAACTGAGGCTTGGTGCACATAGCCGGCTCCTCGTCCCCAACTTCCGGGCAGAACATCTGCAAGGGTGCCCTCAAGAAATCCTGCAAATGGGCAGCAGGATATGCCAAAACTGCCCCAACGTCAAACAGCCCCTAAATACGAAGGGCTGCAGCACTGACCCAGGATGCGAGAAGCAATGGCAGATGTACAGAGGCACCCCAGCCATGCGAGACCAGCCTGGAACTTCTTTCGCGAGGCCTGGGGGCAGATGCAATTAGGCCCTAACTGCAGAGCCATTGACACGCAGCCGCTGATGACAAGTAGTTTAAAGAAGTGCAGGGTCTCGTGCTGTGCCAGCTGGTCAGAGAGCCTTCAAGAATCTGCTAGTGCACAGGGAGGCCTGCTCCTCTGTTAAGCTTATGGCCCTGACTGGTGTGGGACAGGGGCAAGAGGGGGGAATAAGGGCGCAAAAGGGCGCCTCATGAAGGTTCGCACCCAGTGACCAAATTGCCGAGAATGCACAGTAGATGCGGGCCAGGACCTGACTCGACATGGGGGTTTTCGAAAGTAAGGGACCCCGAATATAGACCCCCAAAAAATAGGATTCCCTTATATTAAAAGACCCAAATGCTGCGTAATCTTGCTCTGAGAATACAACTCTCACTTCTGGTTTGGTGGCAGCTGGCATGGGGCAGCTGCAGCCTCTTAGGTCAATTTGGTTTTCAGAATTGGCTTCCCACAGCCGTGCCTTTTCATGCTTGTTCTCGGCTTGCGTGGCCTTGCCTTCGCGGCCCTCCTGCAGGTCATGCGCAACGAAGACTGTAAATTCACTGTATACTCACGGCACACTGCTGAATGTGCTCCAACTACCCGACTCCTCAAGCTTGAAGCCATGCTGTGGGGAGATGAAGGTCGTGAGCATTTTGAGGAAGGATGCAACCTAAGGCGATCGCGAAAGGATGTGGCGCCAAAGCTGACATGTCGAATTTAAAAATTGGAGGTTGTGAATCCTGTGTCTCCTAGAAGTCCAACCACGACTGCCATCCCAGCTCATATCAAAGGCTCGTGTCTGGGAGTCTGGGACCTTCGCGAACTGCTTCGTAGACTTCTCGAAGGTACTCGAAAAGATTGAAAGGCTCGTCCCCCCCACAACGCAAGAGAACGGTGTTCTTGGCTCACCCCGACGGAGACAAAAAGCAGAAGGAACAAGTGCCAAAACGGGGCCGAAAACCGGGGAGTTTCACCGAACGACCTCAGGGTGGATGTTCTAGTACGTTGTGTTTCCTCTCCTGTAGCGCATGGCCGGCATGTAACTCTACTCATGGAATGATCTGGAAAGCTGTTTTCGAGTCAGCCATCCTTGATGGGGATCATGATAGGCATATATTTGTGCCTTGAGGGGTCACCTGTGTCTCGCACTGTTCTTTCGTTTCATCCATGAACGAAGCATGAAAATGACAGTTACACGAATGACAGGTGTGTATCATGCTGTGTAATGTTTGACAGAGGGAGCTACTTGGTTGACTCGTCGGGCTGACATGTCAAGCTTGAAACGCGCAGAGTGCTTCGAACGGGCGCTCTCCCGCCCCGTAAACCGGTACCACCCACAAAATAGGACCTTGCCTACAGTACACCCCTCGCACCATCTCGTTCCCTACCATATGCTTCAACTTTATTCAGGCGATTGCAGTTTCGACTCCAACAATGCTGGAAGTTCTAGACTCTAAACGCTTCGACAAACCCAACTCATCAACGCGTTTCGGATACGATGATCCCTGCTTGACCCCTGGCTGCGGTCACCAAACTCATCCCCATTCCGGAAAAGCGTATAGTAATATATGTGGATATCTTCTGTACACCAACCACTCCGTTTGCAGCGCGAGAGGCGAGGTTGGTGTCCACCGAAGCGATGCCGGGAGCCTCCTTGCACTCCTCCGCATCTTCATGAGATCGGTGTAGCAACTTCTGGGGTGTTGGGTTTAGGGTTTAGGGTTTAGGGTTTAGGGTTTAGGGTTTAGGGTTTAGGGTTTAGGGTTTAGGGTTTAGGGTTTAGGGTTTAGGGTTTAGGGTTTAGGGTTTAGGGTTTAGGGTTTAGGCATAGGGTCAGCGTCCAATGTTTCGTGTCATGCCGACCTGGCCTCGCGCAGGAAGGGCAGCGCCTTGTCACAAAGATCGATGACCCACTTCTTGAGGGTCTCGCTGTGGCTGGGGTACCTGAGGCATCTCTTAGACTTCCGGGCACAATTCGCACAGCATGAGGCTCCGAATGGTTCCCATCACTTTGGGCTCCACTTGCTTCACCCCAGAAAACACCAAGCTGGGCTTGGGGCTTCTTCTTGAAGTTCTCGGCCCAACTCCTGAGAGCCACAGTAATTCTTAGTATTTACAGTAGCCAGGCACAAAGCTGGAACTGGACTTCTCAAATGGGCCGAGGCTCTGAACCAGAGGCTTCCAACCCAAGTGGACGGGTTCCAGGTAGACCTTAGGACTTCTTCGGATTGGGGCCGCGTGAGACTGCAGAGGCAAAGTGGGAGTTTCGGAAGTTCGATTTGAGATCGCCGTGCCGTCGGCTGCGCAAAACTCTCGATCAATCAGATCGTAAGGGACTGCGCTCAATGATGCAATATGATGCAGGTATCATGTCAACCTCTCACCCCAGGCCGCCCTCAAAGCGATACCAGTAAGGGCTTTAAGGGCTCAGGGTGGACGTCATCCCGGAAACCCCTAGGCGCGGGAAGCCCTCGTGCGTCCCTCTCTCGCGTCAACTGATGTAGCCATGTAGTTCTCAGTCTTCTTCATCTCAATCTCACGTATACCAAGTCGGCGGCCATGTCGGCCCATGCTGCTCACACCCTACACACCCCAAACTCCCGATGCCTGAAACCCCAAAAGCCTCCAAACCCTGAATCCTACCACGCAGTCACGCAGTGAGCCCAGCATGGCATCGGCATAGCCCTGCATCTCATGTATCTCACTCCCGGCAACCGGCCATGCCGCAGCGGCTCACAGTGGCCGGAGAGGCCACCTGCGCTGCTGATGCGCACTGTTGCTTGTTGTCAACGTTGTGTTCAACGTTGCTTTTGAACCATTGTGAATGTGTGCGTGTGTGCGTGTGTGCGTGTGTGCGTGTGTGCGTGTGTGCGTGTGTGCGTGTGTGCGTGTGTGCGTGTGTGCGTGTGTGCGTGTGTGCGTTTGTGCGTGTGTGCGTGTGTGCGTGTGTGCGTGTGTGCGTGTGTGCGTGTGTGCGTGTGTGCGTGTGTGCGTGTGTGCGTGTGTGCGTGTGTGCGTGTGTGCGTGTGTGCGTGCGTGTGTGCGTGTGTGCGTGTGTGCGTGTGTGCGTGTGTGCGTGTGTGCGTGTGTGCGTGTGTGTGTGTGTGTGCGTGTGTGCGTGGTGTGCGTGCGTGCGTGGGATGCGTGCGTGCGTGGCGTGTGTGGCGTGCGTGGCGTGCGTGCGTGCGTGTTGTGGCGTGCGTGCGTGGCGTGCGTGCGTGGCGTGCGTGTGTGGCGTGCGTGTGTGGCGTGCGTGTGTGGCGTGCGTGTGTGGCGTGCGTGTGTGGCGTGCGTGTGTGGCGTGCGTGTGTGGCGTGCGTGTGTGGTGTGCGTGTGTGGTGTGCGTGTGTGGTGTGCGTGTGTGGTGTGCGTGTGTGGTGTGCGTGTGTGGTGTGCGTGTGTGGTGTGCGTGTGTGTGTGGTGTGTGTGTGTGTGGTGTGTGTGTGGTGTGTGTGTGTGTGTGTGTGTGTGTGTGTGTGTGTGTGTGTGTGTGTGTGTGTGTGTGTGTGTGTGTGTGTGTGTGTGTGTGTGTGTGTGTGTGTGTGTGTGTGTGTGTGTGTGTGTGTGTGTTGTGTGTGTGTGTGTGGTGTGTTGGTGTGTGGGGTGTTGTGTGTGTGTGTGTTGTGTGTGTGTGTGTGTGGTGTGTGTTGGTGTGTGTGTGTGGGTGGTGTGTGGTTGGTGTGGTTGGTGCTGTGGTTGGTGTGTTGGTGTGTGTTGGTGTGTGGTTGGTGTGTGGTTGGTGTGTGGTTGGTGGTGTGTGGTTGGTGTGTGGTTGGTGTGTGGTTGGTGTGTGGTTGGTGTGTGGTTGGTGTGTGGTTGGTGTGTGGTTGGTGTGTGGTTGGTGTGTGGTTGGTGTGTGGTTGGTGTGTGGTTGGGGTGTGGTTGGTGTGTGGTTGGTGTGTGGTTGGTGTGTGGTTGGTGTGTGGTTGGTGTGTGGTTGGTGTGTGGTTGGTGTGTGGTTGGTGTGTGGTTGGTGTGGGGTTGGTGTGTGGTTGGTGTGTGGTTGGTGTGTGGTTGGTGTGTGGTTGGTGTGTGGTTGGTGTGTGGTTGGTGTGTGGTTGGTGTGTGGTTGGTGTGTGGTTGGTGTGTGGTTGGTGTGTGGTTGGTGTGTGGTTGGTGTGTGGTTGGTGTGTGGTTGGTGTGTGGTTGGTGTGTGGTTGGTGTGTGGTTGGTGTGTGGTTGGTGTGTGGTTGGTGTGTGGTTGGTGTGTGGTTGGTGTGTGGTTGGTGTGTGGTTGGTGTGTGGTTGGTGTGTGGTTGGTGTGTGGTTGGTGTGTGGTTGGTGTGTGGTTGGTGTGTGGTTGGTGTGTGGTTGGTGTGTGGTTGGTGTGTGGTTGGTGTGTGGTTGGTGTGTGGTTGGTGTGTGGTTGGTGTGTGGTTGGTGTGTGGTTGTGTGTGTTGGTGTGTGTGTGTGTGTGTGTGGTTGTGTGTGTGGTTGTGTGTGTGGTTGTGTGTGTGTTGTGTGTGTGGTTGTGTGTGTGGTTGTGTGTGTGGTTGTGTGTGTGGTTGTGTGTGTGGTTGTGTGTGTGGTTGTGTGTGTGGTTGTGTGTGTGTGTGTGCGTATGTCTGCAAGGCTGCGTTTGTGCCGTTTCTTCGGCCGAGGCCCAAGGCCTCTGCGTCTGGGGGGCTGATATTCGCGGCCCGGTTGAGGCTGTTTGAGGTTGTTGCTGGCTTAGGCATGCCGAAAGTTTCATGTCTCCTGGAGAGCTGCTCGAGGTAAAAATCTAGAATCTGGATTTCAGGGTCCCAGCTGGAAGCGATTCATTACTTAATTTATAGCAGCAAAGCAAGAGTAGCATGTTGCAGCGACCCGGCCTTCAGGTCAGCGACCTCGAAGAGCATGGTCATAGTCGGCGGCAGCCTCGAAGCCACAAAGCCGGAGCAGAGTTCACGAGATGCTGACGTTTGCCAGCAGACGAGCATGCATGGAACAGGTTGCAGTGAAGCACGTGATGCTGTGGTAAACTTGCAAGGCAGCGTTTTTTGTGAGTTGATTCGAGCGCAGAAACTCGCTGGCTGCTGAAGTGATACGCTAGCAGCACAGGCATCACAAGGCCCGTCAACTTGGACAGCGTATCGTAAACATTCGCAAACAGACCCCGCGCAGACTGCTGCGATGCATACTGAAAAGTTGGCTTTAGGATGTCTGCGCTGCAAGTCTATAAGAAAAAATCAAGAATGACAAAACTTAACTTTGGCATTGGATTCATGCGGTGGACGAGAAAGGGGATCCTCAAGTCCTGAGGAGGCAAGCAAGTCCGCCAAGAGCAGCCACCACTGTTCCACCGGCTGCGGCGCTCCTTCGTAGCACATCCAACCCTGAAATGGCAACTTGGGCACGCAAGTGCAAGCCACGTCTCTTGCATGGCCTTGAAAAGTCTTGAAGGTTCACTTGCAACAAGGGGCTGCTCCTAAAGGCTACAGTTCGACCCAAAGCTCTCAACCTGGCAAACTGCAACCTGTTTCTCCGTTGCTTCTCCAAGCTTCTTCACCTGTGGAGGGGTACCCGGGCTCGCCTTGATGCCAGCCTGAGGATCTTAGGCCCAAACCCAAGAGAGTGTTCCCTCCCCCCGGCTGTCACATGCTGCGGATGACGATCTGCTCTGAACCCAAAACCTCAGACCAGCTCGGACTTGGCTGCGCAATGTCCACTAATGTTGTATCCTGATTAGTGTTGTCCCCTGGAATTGTGAAAAAACAAATCCGAAAATTTTTCAGCGGGGTCTATTTGAGGAGGTCCCCCGGAATTGTGAGAAAAATTCGGGCGATGCGAAATTTCGGCGAGGCTGTTGAATACAGTCGTTGTTTAGAAATCGCTTCTGAACTGAGCCTGAGAGACCAAAGATCTGAGCCTGAGCAAACGTTTAAAGCCTGAAACCTTGAGGCCTGAGGTTGTCGGGCCCTGAAATCTTTAGTCTCCAGGCCAGCCCCAAAGCTAAGATTTCCGCATAAAATGCTTTTGTACTGAGGCCAGGCAATCAATTTTCAAAGGGGCTAGTCCAGCGGCTGCCCGAATGACGTTTTACATAAAAGTTTGCTCCCCCGAAAATAAATATTTTTTTGCGGGCTGGCTTGGCTGGGATAGATGGATCCCCTGCAAATTCATATAAACTCATCCCTTTTAAAATCAGGTGGATCCGTTTTAAAATCATATGAACCCCTTGTAAGTTCATATAAAATCATCCCTCTTAAAATCGTATGGTTCCCTTTAATTTCATACAATCTCACCCCTTTTAAAATTATATGGATGCCTCTTACATTCATTTTGAGTCATCCCTTTGAAAACCGTATGGATCCCTTTAAACTTCATACAAGCTCTTCCCTTTTCAAATCATATAAAGCCAGAGCCCCGCCCCCAATTGATCCCCACCCCCCCCCGGAAAAAAAAGATTCCCCCCCTGCCCCCGCCCCCACACACACAAAACGGGGAGATCCATTTGTTGAGGGGGAGGGGGTGGGGGGGGGGGGGGGGCACACTAATCAGCAGACCACATGTCGAGTGTCTTGGGCCATGGGCGATGTGCTCCACATCCTTCTCATGCAACCGGCTTTTGCTCAGTGCTGTGCTACATTCTCCGGGCGTTCGCGGTTGAGGGTTGCTCACAAAACCGAAGGCGATTCGGTGCTCGTGATGCCTGCGTGCCCGTCACCCAACAACTCCGCCCCGCGGCCAAACCGCTGCAAATTCTTGCCATCATGAAATTGCCCAAGTTTAGCTTGGAGCTGCAGGGCAACAGCAATACCCAGTGTGGCTGCACGCTCCTACTTCCGTGACAAACTCTTGCTTTTTGTGCCCATAATCATCTATACATCATCATGCAGCAACCACAACCAAACGCAAGAAAACAAAGTTCTGTGCTGGACATTGAAGCGGCAACAGCAAACTGCAGAAGAAAACTGCCCGGACATCCAGAACATCCAAACACCAGTGCGGCAAGGCAGCTAGGGCCCAGATCGTCGCTGCGGTATAGCCCAGGCCAAAGCCCTGGATGGGTTTCACACCGACCGCTGCAGATCCGTAGAGCCCATACACAGACCTCAACATGCACTCAATCTGCGACATGTTGTTCGGACTGTGCGCTTGCGCAAGTCAACAATTGCTTGACGTGAAAGCTTCCGAGTATTCACCTGCAAATCGGTGGTTTGAACATCCACTGTGCCTAGGTCGAGATGAACCGATTTGGATCGATGTAAGCTCTACATACATACATACATACATACGTACATACATACATACGTACATACATATATATATAGATATATACATATACGGATATACATACATACATACATACATACATACATACATACATACATACATACATACATACATACATACATACGCTGCTTGGAGGTCGGATAAATATGTAATTCTTTCAAGATTTCAAGAGAGGCTACATGTCATCCGCCATCTTTTGCATACGATCCCTTTTGCGCCGGCCTTGTTGCAGGCACTATGGCGTTAATTCAGAGGGCATACCGAGGCTTACTGTTTGCGCGCTTGCGGTGGGTGGCCCTTGCTTCTGGCAGTGGCTAACTGAGTGATGTGAGCACTGTCTCAGAGCATGAGGCGGAGGGGGAGGGAGGGGGAGTGGGAAGGTGTGGGCGGCTTGCCAGTGATCTCGATCGGGCTTTGAGTTTGAGAGCATCAGGGCGAGGGCACATCGGGTTTGCGGTGTTCGGACAGCGCTCTGCGCCTCAACCTTCGAGTGCTGCGGGGCATTTACATGTTGCTCTTACGGTCCGAAAAAAAACAGTATAAACGTTTCGGCAAACAACGGGAAGCCGATGCAGTACACAGAGAAAACTTGGGAGCCTTTAAGGCTCTAGGACCGGAAGGACCTTTTGGGACCTTCTGGGACCTTCTGGGACCTTTTCGAACCCTTTAGTTCACTTGCGGTCTACTCTGGCTGAGCGGCACTGCGCAGACCAACGCCTGGCTGAGCCGTGGAGATGTCTTGCTGCCTTTGAGAGTGCCGGAGGCTTAAAGTTATTCAGGGTTGAGGGTTTAGGGTTAAGGGGGTATCAAACGGGCGTCTCAATGGACATTTTGACATATTTTAAGACAGTATCACAATGTCGACCTTCAGTTCACCCTTCAGTCATTCTCGGGCTTTCCTCCGCGTCGCTTCCAAAGATCTACACATTTCCGATTTCTCAGCGGGCTGTAGGAGCACAGCTGTGTCATCGGATCTTGTGGCCGGCCTACGTTTGGCTCTTCCAAGCGTTCGTTGCCTTGGGCCTGACGCCATCTACCCAGAACCAAGCTTGGATGGACGTGAGGCAGCGACTTAGAAATCCCAAACCCCCATTGGGCCCGTGCCTGTTCTGTGAAGCTGAGGGTGGGTGGGCCCAAGACCCGAAAGAGGGGGGGATGGGGATGAACCTCTCAGTAACGTTTTTGTGCTGGGATGACACTCCAGACATCCCCTCACCTGACAACATCTCGTGGTCCCCGTTCAGCTGAATTAGCCTAACTTACCACCAGCTGCTTCAAATGCAGATTCTGCGTTTGCACCTTGCTTGAATACGGGCGTGGATAGCTCCTGCGTTTCCATCCCGAAAGCCTCGACTCTAGAAACAAGTGCAGTGTTGCTCCGGGCCGGATCCCGCACGGCGCCTGAAGGGAAAAGGTCCAGGGCTTGCCAAATGCCAATGCCCGAAGCTGCAGCAAGCCAGCCGGCGTTTAAGCCTTCCCAGGCAGCTTCTACTCGTCCAACAGTGCGTCATCCCTTCGTCCGACTAATGGAACCCTCAATTTAAGAATTTGGATGGATTATTATTATTTGCCCCTGGAGCTCAAGCCCGAAAGCTTCTAAACCCTGAGACCCCGATCCTCCCCATCCAGGTAGGCCCAAAAGGAGGGACGGAGGCACAGAGGGTTCGAGGTTAAGTTCAAAGTCTCACTGGCAACATGTGTCCTGAGGCGAAATCAATGGTCACGGACTGGAGCCAGGAGCCTTTCCAGAGGTCAATAGTAGGAAACGTGCTGTGACAGCTTTGCTAGTACACTCAAGCCCAGTATGTCACAGGCCCAAGCGCGAGCCAGCATGCACTGTGCTTCTACAGCACTAAATGCACGAAATGCTGTCCTGCTGAAGGGCATACTGTTAAGACCTCGGTCTCTCACAGCCATTGGCGGGGGGGGGGTTGCGAATTTAGGGGCACCCTTTTCAGGGGCTCCTTTAAACAGCATTCGGACTAAACCTGTTGGGGCAAGGGGTCTCCTGTAAGGGGAAACACCCATCTACTACAGACCATCCTGCCTCCGACATCCCCAGACTGCTGCAGTTTGACACCAGCAGAGAGCATGGAGGTCTGGGCGGCCACCAAAAAGCAGGCCTGGTGACTTTTCAACTGCACCGACAATTCCGAACATCATCCATAGGCTTCGAACATTTGATTGATATAAAGGCGCCCTAGAAAAAAGGAATGGTTGTGGGTTCGTGGACATGGGAGCTGAGGGGGGGAGGACCCTCTGATGCCATGTGTTCTGCACGGCAGCTCGTGATGCCGGGACCACGGCTCAACCAACAAGCGAGTCCTTGTTGGAACACAACTTGAGAGCAGGGCCAAACGACAGCCAGCAGCACGCAAATTCTCCAGCGGGGGGGGGAGGGGGGGGGCCTCCGGTCCAGAGGGAGGGGACATGGAACCCTTTCCTGTTGCAAGGCTACTAAACCCTAAACCCAAAACCTCCCGTCCATCCCGAAGGAGTTTCTAATTGGTCTCGTCCGCCCGGGAAAATACCTGCAACAACAGACTTTCTGGGACTGCAAAGCAGCCCCTCAAGCTACGGATGCCGAGGAGCCCCCAACATCAGGCACATCCCCAAAGGAAACAGCTTCCCCTATGGACCCCTGAACCTACGGGAGCCTATCAAGCCCAAAAGCCCCAAAAGCCCCAAAAACCCACATGACTAATGGGGCTCGCACATCGCCTAGCCTGAGAATCTGGGCCCAGTGGCACAGGACAGCAGCGCGCGGAAGCAGTGGGCCCGTTTTGGGGCACCGTTGCCCGGCTTCCTAAGCAAACTCTGAGTTCTTATCATGAGGGGTGAATACTCTAAAATACTCTCAATGAATACATATTGCAAGCATTCTTAACCTGAACTGCAAGAGGCAAGGGGCTCCGCCGGGATGCGAATGAATTGCAGCTGCCAGAAGTTTTCCTTCCACAAGCAAGCAAAAAAGGACTTAAAAGCACTCGGAGCTGTTTGGAGGTAGCACACCTAGTAAGGGCCACCAAGTTGCGAACATCCAGGTAGCGAACCAAGAAGGCACCACAGCTTTGGCAACCTCCAAAGCTGAGCATTCTGTCCACAGTTGTATGTCTGGCTCTCGGCTCCTTTAATAAAATCCGCTCTTACAGAAGGGCACGAAACCAGGCTCAGGCAAATGCTGGCAAATTGCCAATCCCGGACACATGCAAGTGCCGCTGCGAATGTAGCTTGCCGACTCGACGAAGACAGCAACCGTCGTATCATAGGAAGCAGAGTACAGGTATAAGTATAAGATATCGGCATTTACATGTGCAATGTCTTTGGGGCGGTATTGTTGAGCTCGGTGTTGCTGCTTTGCTCACCTGCCTCGGGTGACACTCCACCTACCATCATCGCACCCACGCCAGCGCCCTGCAGCAGGAAGATCGGCCCTGAAAAGCAGATAGAAAACTCAAAGATAGCAAAAGACTCGGAGGGACTCGGAAAGAGGGCTCAAAAAAAAAAAAAAAAAAAACACATACCGGAAAATTCTCGTCGACAAGTGTTCCTACAGCGGTCCTACCATCGGAAGCCAGGGGAGGACCTATAGTCCCCCACTGAGCTGCACATTTGGGGCATTCCTTGTGTACCTTTCTACCACCACGACTGTGCATGCTTCTACGATGCTAGCCACAATCCAAAACACCGAAGCTAGAGCACAAGCTTTCCATGCCAAGCCGCCCCAGATGCTGAAGGCCCAGTTCGCTGGAGTGATTTCTGTAGGATACGAAGCTGAGATCGATGCCTCAAAACAAATCTCCAAAAGATCTCCATCCCAAATCATGGAGCCCCTGGCTTATTCTGTAGGAACCCTGAACCCAAACCATGAACCAAGACAACCAAAAGACAGCGTCGCAACTTCCATGGCCCGCATAAGCGCATCTCGAAGCATCCTGTGACGCTGCTACTGCTGCCGCTTCAGCTGCTTGCTAAATGTCTATATCGTACAAGGCGAAGCCCTCCAAACAAAAAGAGAGAGACCACTCAAAAGGCTTAGCAAGCGGATCTGGCAATACACACGCCTTTCATTGACGAGTTGCTCATCTCATCACTTCATTCCCACTATTGCTGCCTTGACCTTCCTCCCTTCCTCTTTCTTTCCTTCCTTCGCGTCCAGGGGGCGTAGCCTCTTGCTCCCCCCCTCTCTGCATTTCTATTTTCTACTTCTGTCCTTCTGTCTCTCCGTCTTTGCATCCGAGTCACATTTGTTCGGCCCAGCTTCCCGGACAAGGATGCGTAGTTCACAGCTATCAGGGCTGCGTAGCCTGCTTTCATTTTAAGATCAAGTCCACCCAAAAACTTCGAATAGGCAACCTACTCCCACGGCATGTGCCCAACGCCTCATCTTATATCCTGCACATCTCAAGCCGAGAATTTCGTCCGAGTAGGGGCCCGCTGGGCGGAGGCCATAAAATCTGGAGGTCGAGAAAGGGTTGTAGGGTTGTAGGGTTAGAGGGCTTAGGGTTGTTTATCTGCGGGTTCAACGGTGACTGGATCGTCTGTGAGACTGGCCCATAATTGGCTCGATTCAATGTCTGAGTTTCATTGCAATGGTTGTGATGCGTTTGGCTTCTTGATGACTGCGCGATGTAAACTGCAACAAAACCACAAAACACAAAGTCTCAAATGACCCTAAACTCCCCAAACTCCCTGAACTCCCCAGACTCCCTAAACTCCGTAAACTCCCTAAACTCCCTAAACCCCTCCCTAAACTCAAATCTTTAGGGACTTCAGGACTTCGGGAAGTGAGCCGCGCGCTCAGCGGTCCCCACCCCCAACTTGAACCTGTAGCGATTCTTCGAAGTTCTGGAAGGCCCGAAAATGGAAACCCCAACTTTTTTTCCGCGTGGGTTTAGGTTTGGGTTTAGGGTTTAGGTTCTGTAGGCTTTGCAGGATTGGAGTTTGGTGGGCTTGGCCCTTTCATGGAGCACCACAGCACTACCAATATGACCTTTTCCCTACTGTTTTAGGCCGAAGCGACTGCAATCCTCAACGGGCTTCCCTTCGGGCCTACCCCAAGGGCACCCTTCCAGTAGGGCGAAATGTCTTCAGAAGCCATGGGGCAAAGTCGAGAGCGGTTTTGGGTTAAAAGGGAGCTTGAGCCCAGCGAACGGCGATGGCGCTTTTTTGGCGGGCTGCACCCTGCGTGTGGACCGGGTGGAAAGCAGTGTACAGAAATGGAACAGACATGAGAATAGAAACGAACTGCAGAACCCTGAAAACAAGTGTCGGACTTGATTCGCTCGCCGTTCGCAAGGCACAGCATCTTGTTGTCATCCGCACCTTCACCAGCACTTCCGAGCTTCGCAGCAGACGACCTCCCCCCTGCTATCCCTGCTTCTATCCATCTAAATCGAGTGCAGCTAGGGCCCAATGCCGTTTCATGTTCTCAATCCAGATGGCGTCCACAGGTCCGTCAAGACGACCTCGCGCAAAGCCCAAGCGCCTTAATGAGCCCTTCAGTTGATACGCCGTTCATTCCCCGGTAGCACAAGTTGGATCTGAGGTAGCTTCCCACTTCTTGTTGTCGGAGGTGTCGCTCACAGCCTCGCGCACGAGCAGCGCGACCTCGCCCAAAATGGGCAAGGGAAACCCAGCCCAACCCGACAGTCCTAGACCCGGCATGCTCCAAAACCCAAAAGGAAAACAAGACCTTTCTCCGTAGCCCTGTAGTAGCATGAAGAGCTTCTCCAAGTTATCCATTCCAGCTGCAGGGGCACCGGCGAATAATTCTACAGGGGCCTTCGGTGGGGTATGCCAGGACTGTCCCAGTAGTAGTAGTAGTAGTAGTAGTAGTAGTCGTAGTCGTCGTCGTCGTCGTCGTCGTCGTCGTCGTCGTAGTAGTCGTAGTAGTAGTAGTAGTAGTAGTAGTAGTAGTAGTAGTAGTAGTAGTAGTAGTAGTAGTAGTAGTAGTAGTAGTAGTAGTAGTAGTAGTAGTAGTAATAGTAGTAGGAGTAGTAGTAGTAGTAGTAGTAGTAGTAGTAGTAGTAGTAGCAGCAGTAGTGGTACTTTAGCATTAGTGTTTTCGAACTTGGAGGAAGAACCACATCCAGATGATGCAGAAGTCTGAGAAGCCCGGCCAGTCCATCTGTCCACTCTCCCGTGTTGATGTTAGAGAACCCATAGAGCTCCTGTTCGCATTCTTGATACAAGCCGAAACCAAACTGGTCAGTGCAAGGCTAAGTGCGACGATTTCTGGAAACAGACAACTGCTTTCGCTTGGCCAAAAGGCCGCATTGGATCGCCGCAGGAAAGGATGCGGTAGCGCCCGCTGGCTGAGTCTTTTTCACCTGCGCAAGGCCCGCAGCGTTGTCGCCGCGAGGCGCCTGACTTTGTCCTGGGTGCGGGCTCACTCTACAACGCGCAAAATTGTCCCGGGGACTTTTGAGGGGTCTGGAGGAAGTCTTTGGACTGCTGTGTAAGCGGCGTCATCGTCGTCCATGACGTCACCCACGGCCTGCAAGATTGGCTGCTGACCCTTGTTGACGGAGACTGACAGTCACAGGTTGCGCAGAACTTGCAGAGGCGAGGAAAGGGGAGGGGGAGAGGGGAGGGAGGGTGAGAGGGAGGGGGAGGAGAGGGAGGGAGGAGGGAGAGGAGAGAGGGGGAGGGGGAGGGAGGGGGAGGGAGGGGAGGGAGGGGGAGGGAGGGGAGGGAGGGGGGGCGGGAGGGAGGGGGGAGGGGGGGGAGGGAGGGGGAGGGGGGGGAAGGGAGGGGGAGGGGGGGGGGGAGGGGGCAGGGGGAGGGAGGGGGAGGAGGGAGGATGGGTGAAGGGAGGGAGGGGGAGGGGGAGGGAGGGGGAGGCGGGAGGGAGGGAGTAGGGGGGGAAGGGGGGGGGGTGGTGGGTGCGGGTTGGGGGAGGGGGGAGGGAGGGGGAGGGAGGGGGGGAGGGAGAGGGAGGAAGGGGAGAGGGAGGGGGAGTGTTCGTTGGGAATAATTCTATAGGGGTGAAGGAGTTTTACGTACTAGTACTTGCTGTTTATATTTTTAACCTTATTGTTTTTGCTAGTTGTTTTTCGGGGGCGCAAAGCTTGAGCTTCAAGCTTTTTGAGTTTCGACGGCTGGAGGTTCCCACGTTTCTGCCTGTTGAACTCCAAACAAGAGCCTTTCTAGGCGTTTGACCACGTTAACTGTAACAGCAAGCATGCACCAGGGCGCCCTCCTCCTCTTTGCAAACACAGCGATAGTAAGATGCTTAGCTTCTTGAAGCAGGCAGACCCCGTCCGATTTGCAAACACTCTGATCACACGATGAACTCGAATCGGAATGGTCTCCATTGGGTTCTGCATGCGTCCAGCGGTGGTTGGCGGGGTCCGATTGCAATGTCGTGAGAAAATCAAAGTGCGCGATGGCATAAGCATAAGTATGGCTCTCGTATGATCGCAGCCCCCCCCCCCCCCCGTTGCCCGGGGTTCAGACAGGATTCATATGGGTTCGACATGGATTGACACGGGTTCTGAGGGGACTCATCGTCAAGCACCCTCGCTTGTGAAACATGCTGATGCTTAGTTGCTTCTTGAAGCAAGTATTTGGCAAGCATGCACCGCTTCAGAACGTGCCGCGGCGGCTGGCAGAGCCCGACGGCGTTTAGAAAGTCTAGAGAATATGAGAAACAAAGAACGGAAAGCAACAATCAGCACAGTGCAATGCAGGGGCATCTAAGGGTCTGCGCAGAGAGGAGAACAATGGAGAACACGTCAGCTTAGAACAACAAGTAACAACCCCACAGAGTTGGTGCAGCCACCTGGAGCCACCCGGCCCAAACAATCCCCACAACTGTCCCATACTGAACATACACTAACTACAGACCACTCCCGAACTCTCACTGAGCCTCAAGGGCAGCTCGGTGGCCCTTCGGCGTTGTGCGCGCTACCGCCAGGAGAGCGGCCTGGCGGACGCCCTGGGCAAGGCAGCTCTCAGGGTCACAGGTTGGGCATGCCACGAGGCATTCTGTCTTGGAAGTGCACACATGAGTCCATCGACGTCATGTGCCCCGGTATCTCCGGCGTGTGGGACTTGGTGCCGTGAGCGGCCAAAATAATTTCAGTGTTTGTAGTGCAGGCCTCAAGCATTGGCACATGGCCAGGTGACCTTCACCCTCTTCTTTTTACCTCTCGCAGCCCACCTCGTCATCGTCCTGGAGGAGCTTCAGCAAAGGAGTAATCCAAGCCTGTGCAAAGTTGTAGATGCACATGGACTGGAGATCATACATAGTGCATGCGAGTGATAACAAGAAGAAGAATAGCAAATAACTCATGATTAATCGAGACCTGGGCTCTAGGAACTTTGCTCTCTCGTTGCTGTCTGCATGACTCGCGCCTGGACGCTTGCAAACGAATGCAGGATTTGGCAAATCTGCCGTCTGAACAAATGCATCTTGCATGCTCAAGGTGGGCCCTACGAGAATCTACCCACGTACAAACCGAGGTCCCCACCTCATCGCCCAACGGCGCCAGGCGTCCTGCTGCAGCAGCCGCCGCCGCACGGACGTCGTCGTCGGTGTCAGCGAGGAAGGGCTGCGAGATTTGGGATCTTAGGCTATGACTCCCTCAACTCTGGTGCATCGAAGGGTTTTCCATCAACACAGGCTTTCGTGGAGTTTCGAGGAGTGGATCTAGTATTCTAGGAGTAGGGTCAGGAACATAGATGGAGACGGTTCCATGAACAGTTTGACTTAGTCTTGGTCTTGTAGCTGCTTGGAGATTATTAAGAACTACTACTGTAAACAACCAGGGCTCGACGATCACGATATAGCAACTTCCTGGCATTCACTCCAAGGACGTAACATTTGAACCTGCTTCTCGTTGTAATCCCGAACCCAACCCCTAATTCTCCTCCTAAGATCGACATAACATCAAATAATATTATTATTAGTAGATACGGTATCGTATAATGAATAATTACACTATGCGTATACAGAAAACACAGTACAGTATTTACCCCTCAAGTTTGTCCTTCACCGCCGCGAGCGCTGATTCGGCGCCGCGCGGCGCGGCCGCTCCGAGCGAGGCCATCGCCACGCGCCGGACGCCCCAGTCCTTCGAATATAACATTGGGATTTCTGTACGTCTATCTATCTATCTGCCTATACATACATACATACATACATACATACATACATACATACATACATACATACATACATACATACATACATACATACATACATACATACATACATACATACATACATACATACATATTATATATTATATATATATGTGTGTGTACATATGTGCGTGTTTTTGTGCCTGTGTTGATGATTCCATACGATTCCTTATCCATGCGCAGGTTTAACACATTCATTTGTCTTCAAAAACGTAGCATCTTGTGTTTTACGCTATCCGGTTTTCGGTTCTGTGTAATATGACAGTACACGACTAAATTCTGCTAGATTATACATTTTGTCTTTGGGTGATCAGCTATGTTGTGTATGTAGTCTCCAGCTTTTTGTGGGTTGTTATAAGGGATGAGGGAGTCAGGCCAGAGCCAGGATCATTAGTGGTGGATGGGCCTGACATGGGAACAATGGAGAGGACGAGGTTCTTGGAAAGACCTTCGAGGTGAGGCCAGAGCCGACTCGCTGCAGGTGGCCCAAGAAGAAAACAGAACTTGGCCCGAGCCCTGCATCCCAAAGCTGCGTAACACTTCAGTGACCTCCCTGACCCTCCAAAGCCCTCACTTGACACAGTGGACCCTGTGGCCCAACAGGAGCCTACCATGCTGTAGCCCAATAGCTGAGAAGCCACAACCTGTTCGTGAGACCTCGTCACTCCGGAGTAGTTCCAGGACCTCTAACACGCGTGCGCTCAACAAGCTGCACAACTTGGTCTCTTCGACTTGTTCTCGCAGACAGACAAGATGTCCAAAATAGCCCGAGGTCTAACTGCGGCTCCCTGCGCCTTGTCAACAAAGCTGCGGCACATCTCCGAGCCTTGCACCTTGCAACTTAGGTTTAGGCGCTTGACAGGGTCTACTTCCTCTCAGCTGCCACCAGCACATTTGCAAAAGAGAGGGAAAAGTCAGAGCCGACCTTTGCCAGAGCCTCTGCAGCTGCTGAGGCTTCCTGGAGGATGGTGCTTAGCAGGGTGGGTCGCAACGGCTTCATCGGATTTCTGGTACAGGCACACGGGATTGGCAAGTGGCTAGTGGCTTCTCAAATCTGAGTATGCCTGCTCTTCATGGCTTCTCCCGGAGAGACGTGCGTCGGACACCACTGGATGTCACACTGTTTCTGTCGCGCCGTGCACCTTGCGTAGTATACCTACTCCACATGCGAAGCGATGGGCGGCGATCTTTTTAAGATTTAAAGAAGAAGTCGGTCTGCGAGCTGACACTGGCAAAACTGCAACAAACTACCTTCGAGCATGCTAAGTTGACTTTGCAGTCAAGAGTCAACATCATGGATAAGTTTGAAGCTTACACAAGACGTCGCAGTAGTTGCATTTGGCCGATGCGAGAGAAGATTTATGGACCATGTTGCTGACAGTCTTCTACCAGTCGGCGTGCCCAGGGTAAACCGGGGTAGTGCTGGTAGCAAGGCTTTCCTCTTCGGTTGCATCTTCGCTCGCAGGCTCCGGCATGAGAAGCCGCACGCCTCAGGTGGTGAGCTTTTGAGCTTTTTAGCTTCGAAGAACCCATATTCGGGAATGTCGGATATGTCGGTACGTCATAGGGAGCACATGCACGGCTGCCAGGCATGGGGAAGCCTCCTAAACCCGAAACAAGGCCTGTGCAGCGCAATCTCCTTTTGTACACAAAGCTTGCGGCCTGCATCTAGCGCCGCGCGGCGAACCAATGCGTCTGAATCGCCGAGGCGGCTGCAAACGAGACTGGGCAAAGTGTGCAGGGTTCGTTCCATAAGGACGACTGCATATCCCTGAACCCCAAGCGGCATCACACACATTCCGCCGGCAAGCCGAACGCAGAACCATCAACAAGTCAACACATTGAAGCAGCGGGAAGGTTCCCAAGCCCGGGGCAAGTGCTAAGCCATTGCACAACATACCGACTCGCTGCTACAACTGCTTGAAGCGCTTTAGGATCGTAGTCGCTGCGGATATCTGCAGAGTGTTGAGATATGTTCACGTACTTTGAGCGTGGAAGACCAACTCTGAGGGCAATGCGTTTTGATAGGTGTACATCGCTCTGTCTGACATAGACACATGTACAAAAGCCCCCATCCTCCAAACAAACCCTCTCCACCACAAAACCACTCCAGTGATCTCCATTACCCAGTGAGGGCTGAAGTGCTTCCAGACACATGGGCATTTGGGATACAGGTCGGCGACCGGAAGTGATGCTTTCTTCTTCAGGCCAGAGGGCTCCACCGCTGTGACATGGCCGTGTGCTTGTGGAAGTCGCCCCAGCGTCTGCACCGCTTGTCGCCGGGCCTCCCAGTCCTGCACAACAGATTTGATAGAGATGCTAATGGTGTGTATGTATGTATATTTTCTTGTATACTAAGAAATATATGTGTGTGTGTGTGTGTATATGTGTGTATATAATAAGGCATTATGTTTAAGTGATACTTGATCAGAAATTATGTCCTGCCAGCCTCAAGAGTTTCGAAGTCGCAGCCTCAACTGTGCTCTCAGAACCCCCCATTGGACTGTCCTTCTGTTGGAAAGCATCTGCCCATTCCTGGCCGAAACATGCAGCATGATACGCCTTGGGACCTATCTCTTGGCAGGACGCGCTCAAGTAGCGAAATCATGCAGAAGATGAAGGACCTTCAGCCAAAGTGCTGGTCATGGCTTTCCGTGAGTCATCGGCCTCTGCCCGAAAGACAGGGGCAGCAGTGTGGCTCTCGTACCCGGACATTATGCCACAACAGCGTAGCAGCGCGTCCGCGCGGGCATCGGCATCGCGAAACTTTGCGGCGGATTCCCAGGCCAGTGGATGGAGTGGAGGAGGGAAAGGGGAGAGTGGGGTAGAAGGTCGGGGCTGAAGGCATCTTGCAAAGGCATAAAGCTTGATATCAATGGCGCCTCTAGCTGTGCGTCGGCACTTTACCGTCAATGCCAAGTCATGCAGCATCTTGCAACTGATTCGAAAAATTGCAGCAAGGCTGGGACATGAACAAGATTAATGAGATTAATCATACAGTACTAATGTATTACCCATACGAGTTGTATTTATCACTCATGTTATTCACAGAAAAAACAACTCATTACTCCTAGCCAGGGCCAGTCATGAAGACATGGTCACAACAACCTGAGGCCTGTGCTCTAAGGACTTGTAGAAAGCAGCCCAGAGTCCAACAGAAGCAAAGCAGCCATGCCATGCCAAATGACAAATGCCAAATGCCAAATGCCAAATGCCAAATGCCGTACTTTTTACGCTTCAACTGCTTCTGTATCGTCTGTTAAGTCGGCTGTCAGTCGATGTCATGCAGAGTTCCATACCTGGAGATGCTGTCAAAGGAATTGTGGGAATTACGGCAGCAAAACTCGGGCATCCTCCAGCATTGAGAGGGATAGTGCGATACTCTAAGTGCTGGCCGCGCTACGTGGCATCAGCACGCTTTCTGTTCGGACAGAATACAGAGGAGAAAGTTGCTGCAAAGAGTTGACGAACGCTTAGAGTCGGAAATGGATGGAAATGGATTCTTTTACGGTCTGCCGCTCAAACACACGCTCACATTCCAGGCCAAGAAAGGCAATGTCGACCTCCAATTGTTGATGTACCCTGCACCCCGGAATGGTACGAAAGGCTGCCTGCAGGAAATTGTGGGGACTACCTCGGCATAGACGGCCCTGGAAGAGAGTAATCCGAGCACCTGTTTTAACTAATACCTCCACATTTAAAGAAATTGTTTTCGTCGAGAAGCCTGCCGGAAGATTCCTTTCCAAAACGAGGGTTTTCGTATGGGCCAATACCACCACATTTAAAGAAATGTTTTCGGGGGAGTTCACAAATCTGTCGGCAGGCTTCTTGTTTTGCTTGCTGACCTGCGAAGCTACAGCACCTCAGGGATCTGCAGCCTATTGTCAATACAGAATCAATACATTGCCATGGTCTTATTATTGTGGCGCCCTGCCTTTCTTATTGCGGGGGGGCGGAAGGGGGGGGAGGAAGGGGCGGGGGGATGGGGGGCGGGGGGGGCTTGGGGGGCGGCGCGGGCGGGGGGGGCGGGGATGCGGGGGGGGCGGGGGGGGCGGGGGCGGGGGGGGCCCCCACCAATTAAACACGTGCTCGGATTAAAGAGCGCAGAAGGAAATAAACAGGATCAAGCAGCTCAGGCAGCTGAGATCAGGGTCCAAGGCCCTAAAAGCAACGTAGTGTGTGTGTGTGTGCACAGCCAGATGCGGGAGAGTTAGGCGCGCAGCTCAACCAAATGGACCACTAGAACCCGTCCAGACTGTTGAGTGAGCGGTACTCCAGCCCTAATTGAATACATTCCAATGTGCCCAGGCTTCAACGACACACCCTGGTAACTACAATAAAGGGTGCGATCTACAAGAATGTGCATTGCCCTGGAAGCAGCTCTGCACAAGCGCACTCCGGGTAGGGCTTCCCAGGCTCGTCCTTCGTCCAGAAAAGGGTATTTGGCCAGTTGCAAGGCATTCGCAAGTTGATGGGGGCAATTTGCCAATATGAGTCATCCTGGAATCAGCACCTGAGAACTTAAGGAAAAAGAAAGCGCGGGGGCCTTTCCATGAGCCAAACCAGGCCGGAGCTTCTGCCCGAAGAGTGTCCTGTCTCTCTTGAGATCTCTACTCCTAAGCTCCCTTACACTGCTGAGTATTGGTCACACAATCCACCTCTGCACAAGTCAGGAACTTGGAGGTTTATGGCTGCGCAGCCCATCTTCACGCAACTCATGATGCAGATCTGCAGGTTTCAAAAAACCCTTTACCGCAACTTTGCCGGGGTGACTGCTCAAATTTCTTCGCCTGCAGCAGGAAAGTTCTGATCATTGGGATTCAACTTCAACGGAGCACTGGGCTGAATTTCTCGGCTTTGGGGTTTAGAAGGTGCTTCTGTCCTTCTCTTTAGCCCTCCGGAACTTACGACATACCGGGGAACGTGAGGTCAGCTCGTCCGAAAGCACTTGTAATACTCCACACAAGGAGCACTTGTCTAAGCAATCATGCCGAATAGATGCTGATGGAGCCACAAAACACTGCCATGACTCCCGGGCAGATCTGTCACTTCTGTGCCTAAAGCCCATATTAGCTGTTGGAGAGGAGTTTTGACTCATCGCTACTTCTTCCCCTGGATTGGTATTCTGTTGCTTCACTATCTACGGCTCCGGAAGCCTGCTTCTCCCGTCGGAGCTCTGCCATCCGCTGCGCGTCTTCCTGGCTCCTGCTGCCGGGCTGCCGGGCTGCTTGCCGGTGACAGAGCAAGATGGGTCAAAAGCTTCGTTTGGTGGATTTTTGCTTGCAAGCTGCAGAGCTGGAAGTGCTCCAGAAAAGCCCGAAACTTCTGACAGCCACGATGGTGCCTGCCAGTTGCTTCCTCCTTTCTGGCCTCTGTGGCGGCCTGTTGGGCATCACCAGCGTGGTCTAGGACTAGCTTCAGAATGATAAATCTTCCCAGAATCTATGCAGACACACACCCTTGGCTTCTTTCCTTTCTGGAGGTGCACTGCTTAGCAAGCCTTGCTCCCTCTCCGCCTGCAACTCCTCAAACCGACAAACCCAAACCCAGCAGCCCAGCAATTGCACTGTGGTAGTTGTTCAAAGGAGAGTTGCATCTGAGCTGCAACTCAATCCCGGCCAGGTCGCAGGTCCGTGCATGTCTTCAACTCTACTTCTACCCCATCAAAGCCGCATTGAAACTTAGGCCCCTGACTCGTTCTGCCAAGGGAGACTTCAGAAGCTGCACAAACCTTGCTGGGGTCTCGCATGGCAGATCAGGGAGGCAGCCAACCGATGAACCTGGAAAAACTTGTCCGAGCACATCTTAGGTATGACATGGATCTCAAGTTACTTGACCGCTTTCTTTGAAGTCTGTGTAGGCTAGCTTGCTACCGACAAATCCGGCTCCTTTCTGAGATGCCCCCACTGAGCTCTGGGCGCATCCTGGCCATAATCCTTCGCCAACTGCAGGGCTGTCAGACCTCAAAACTAGGTCCGCGCAGAAAAGCTGAATGCTGGGCTCTTATTTACACCGTTACAATGCAGATAGGTAGAGGAACATTGCAACGACCAGTCCCCGAAGTTCTCCTAACATCTGTGCCCATGGGTAAGGTAACACTCCAAGCTGAAGTGAAGGGAAATTGTGCAATCGAATAGCGTGCCTCCTACGGTCTCAGACTCCGACCGCTGGAGCTCTCAGCCAAGGGGTTCGCGCGGTGGTTCAGCAAGAGCTGTCCCAAGCCTCAAAACAGCGGAAGAGATGGAAGGGCAAATCGTTTTTGAGAGAACAGGGGTGCCCTTTTCTCTCCATCATTCCTAAAGTCTCTTGCATCTAGAGGTGGGAGGCGGTGAGAAGGAACCCTGACTGAAGCCGGTTCACAACCGTGTCGGTAGGACTCAGGGTGTGTACTGTGTAGGGGAGGGCCCCTTACACTCACATTCACTAAGTCAGGCTTGTGAAGGGGATTGGGCATATCAAGCGCCCCCTCTCTAGGTCCCTATGTGACCATGGTACTGGAGTACTGTCGTGGGGGAGGGAGGTCAAGGACTCATGAGAAGACTGCTGAATGAGAAAAGAAATGTTGTCTGGGTTCATCTTCAGCCTGTGCAGCACACCCGTTCGGGCCCGTGCCCTCCACACCAGCAGCGGCAGCCTTGGAGCTAACCGGCAAAAGCACAGCAGAAGCCAATGCCCCCAGTTTTTTCAGGCATTTCGAGCAGCCCTCGGGCCGTGACCTCCATCAGGGGCGTCTCACCGACTAGGTCGCTGCGACTGGGATCCACATGCGCCTTTGCGAGGAGCTCCTGCAACGTGAGCGAAATAACGAAGGACGGCCGGTAGTTCGAGCGCGATGCAATTGAACGTCACTTAGGTACAAGAAGGCCCCGTCACATGAGACACGGGTCCAAACAAAAAGGCGCGATTCCCAGCCCTGCTACGTTTGCTTTGTTGCGGCCGACTGTCTTCAAAAGATTCCACAAGATAGGGTTTGCCGCACGACAGCAGAACTGAAATCACGAAAGGGTACGTAAGTCTGTCGCGTCAGCAGAATTCTGCCAATCACACGGGCTTCAAAGCACCGGACGTGCCTCGATCAAAACCTGCGCACGCTTTTCGTCCTTTGCAGGGACCACGGCCGATTCTTCGGCGAGCTTCGTGTTTCCAATGTGTTTCGGGTGCCAGGACTCTGGGTTTGTTGCGTCATAGCGGAAGCACGGCATGAACCTGCGTTCACCTACATGTCTCACAATGGCTTTTCGCCCCTGAACCCGTGGTCCGCGAGGAAGTTCCGAACTGCGGACATCAGTGGTGTCTCACCTGGCTGACATGCAGCATGGCAGATGCGGGCAATGCAGTGGAGGCGCGGGATGTCTTCGGACCGGGTTACAATATGTCGTCATTCTTGAGGCACTATTGAGCTCCTGAAATACGAGAAATGTGACACACCATACATGAGGTGGCCCCACGACCCATCTGGCCAAAAACCATGGTGGGCGGCACTGGGTGTAGATAGTACCCCCTTGAACCTTCCAAATCCTGCAAAGATGCTCAAAGCGGTGCAAATTGCGCCTAACGAGTTCTGCCGATTCTTTGGAGCGCCGTTCTGAAGGAGAAAAGTCAGCATCTCCTGACATTGGAGCTTTCACTTTGCGCTGCCCACACGTTTCGACGGTTCGGGGCTTCAGGTACTTGCCTGAAATCTAGCGCCACCCTTTTGCTAGCACAGGGCATGAACTGTGAGAAGCACTGGCCCCATAGTTCCTTGCCATAGAGTCTTGTACCAAAACACTCAACGAGAGCATCCCACAGCAGAAGGGTGTGCCTGGTCTGTGGTCTCTGAGGGCCCCGTCTGCAGGGCTTGTGCCAACCAATGCAAAGGCCTGAGGAGTCATGGCATCGCTGTCCTGTACACCTTTTCATCCCGCAAGACCCGCCGCCATCCTTTACGATGTCCACACACCGTTCTCAAGGCCCCATGGTTCAGGCTCTGGCGTGTTTCCATCTTCATCAGCCGCATCCTGCGCAGGTGAGGGTGGGGACGGAGTGTTGGGGGGGGGGGGGGGGGGAGCTGGACGGGCACTGCACTGTGCGGTTGGTGTCCACTTGAGGCACAAGCTGCCTGAAGCTGATGTTCAGCGCATCCTCTTGCATCACATAGGTGAGAGCGAATGCACGCAATTTTTCCCAACATGTCAACCGCAAGCCCTCGAGGCCCTCGATCCGAAAAAGCCCCTGCACCGACTCATCACCGCGCGACAAAGACCAAGGCCCAACCCCATTGTTCCAACATGTTCCAACCCCAACAGAAGAGCCGTCCTTGCCTCCAAAGAGATCTGCGAAGCTGCGATCAGCTTCTTCGCCTCCCGAATCCCGGAGCTAAGAAAGACTATGAGCACTTACGATGGGCGCCTTCGCGGCACTTAATCTATCATCCGGAAAACTCACCGGATTCGCGGGTGCGTGCAAAAACACCAAGAACAAACGGCCTAACTGCACACACTGCCGAAACAAAGCCAGCACACAGCGACCTGCGCCAGGCGGCCGTTGAGGACATGGTGCTTGAGCTCCAGGATCGTGCTGCCACCAGCCATGGGCCTGAAGAGGGGCCTTTTGGGAGGCTATGCAATTCGATTCAGCAGACACCCCGGCCTTGTGAGGTCCTTCCGCTATGCCACGAGCGTGGCAAAGAGCGGCGCTGTCAAAGCACTTCCCCTCTTGCTTCCCTTGGTGCTCTGACCCTGTCCTGCTTGCTGCAAGACGCTGAACCTGCTTGCCTTTCGACTGCAACTATTTCTGGTGGATGTGGGGCCTTACGAATGTGCCATGAATCGTATGTACATGCGCGAACCTCGTTGCAAAGCTTTGACGACTGCTGCTGCTGATATGAAGAAGTTTGCGTGCTTGCTGGACATGCGCTTCAACCTTGGACCGGAAATGGCCATGGGGGAATGGCCCGCTGACAACATGCCTCCACTGTTCCAACTGTTGCTGATGACGGCCACTCCTACAGCTACTGCTACAACAACTGCCGCTCCCAGTACTGACTGCTCTTATCACTACGCCTATCTCGACCACTATGACCTCTACCGGCACCAGCACTACGGTTCCCGCTCCCGCTTGCCAGGATATGGCGACTGGCTCCACAACTGTGTCCTCCATGGTGATGCTCTTCGGATTCAGCGAGAAGGTCTTGGTGAGCTGATGCGCAGGGTCCGGCGAGTTGTCCTGCAAGTATAGCCATGGCGACGTCTGCACAAAGAAGAATAAGCAGCGCACTTAGAAACGCTGGCCAGAAGAAGGATTTCCTGACTACATGTAACAAGCAAGAAGAGCGATTCACACAAGGCTTGCTGGGTGATGGCTCCTTTCAAACTGTATCACTTCAGAAGGTTTGCTTTATAATGCTTATACTGGGAAGAAGTCACGAATGCCACTGGATCTTTGTTACAGAAAATCACTGGACGATCTAGGAGTACCTGTTATGGGCTGTTGGCAGTCAGCCGCTTGCACGTAGCATCCAGAGACCAGGTAGGGCAACAGTGGCCACAACTTCGGAAAACATGGAACATCCAAAACCCGAACAGACTGATACAACAATACAAACCGCAGAATAATAGAATAACATAGAATTACAGAACCACATGTGTCGGTAGCTGCTGATTTTTGCTCCCTCTTTCGCAATCTCGAAGTCGCTGCTGCCTTCTTGCTTTCGAGATCTTTCGAGCTTCGTCCCTTCCCAGATACCGACAAAAACACAGCTGAGAAAGGTCCGGCACCAGAACTTGGGCAGTGTTGACTCTGCTTTGGCAGAGTCGCGCCTGGAGGCTCGACTTCCCTACGAAGCCGGGAACAGATGGAACAGTGGCCGTTCTTCGAAAAAGACAAGTCCCGACTGGCACAGTCCATAGTCCATAGCTCTGCATGAAGCCACCCACGCTGCTCGACAAGTCAACAGCAACACTAAGTTCTTACAGAATGAGGCGGTAGCTTTAGCAATGCAGGGTATAAGAGCACTTTTCCCCGCCCGACGGTGCGTTGACTTGGGAGGGAAGGTATTGCATGGCATGAGTCGGTGTGCGAGCACATGATCTCCTCATACCGCGCCACTGCTGAGCCTCTCCGAAAAACTGCGCAGCTGCACCCAGACCCTTTGAGGATGCCGTTTATGGCTTTGGGCTCCTCCCGTCCACCCGCAAAACGCCAAATCGACCTATCATCCTCCGCACGACCCATCTCCTGATGACGTTGAAGACTTGAAGAGTCAGGAGAGGGGTTCATGTACATGCTAAGAGCATTTGCCGTTAGTCTGCAAAGAGCGATCAATGATCAAGACCAAGAACCGGGGCCGCTTTGCCACGAAGTGCCTGCGTGCAGATACTGGATCTCCCATTCGTCATTCCGGCATGGCGAGGCTGGGTAGCCCACACAAGCAGTCCCGCCCCAAACCCAATCTCAAACCTAGCACAGTCTCCTCGGCACCGTCTTATGCCTCTTGTGTAGACGAAAACGGAATCACAGTGGGCGCTTGAGGGCAGGTCGGAAAAAAGGCATCTGCCGAGGCTTGCTATCACTGGAAATGTTACTCAAGATCCCCCTCGAGGACTCCTACACCATCTCATCAGGAGGCGTAGGGTCACCTGAGAAGCGATCAGCCGCAGCCTGAGTCAAAAGTTGCCTGACTCTTGATATTTTCCAGAGACAAGACCATGACTTACACACAGTTTTTACAAGACTTGATCTTGAGGTTGCATTCTCTTTGCTCGCAGCCTTTGCCTTGTCTCAGAACAGCTTGTGCACCCGGGAGTTCAAGAGTGCTCCACCTTCCAGGGCTAGAACATCACAAGATCGAAAAGGTGCTTCAAGTGAACAGGGTTCCCCCCCCCCCCCCGGCACCCCATGTCGAAGCTGACAGTGAGCCCGCCGCCCCACAACACCACCCCACCCCCCCCCCACCCCACCCCACCCCACCCCACCCCACCCCACCGCACCCCACCCCAGACACACCCCAACCCCCCCCCACCCCACCCACCCCCACCCACCCCCCACCCACCCCACCCCACCCCCCACCTGACGACTGTGAATGAGACCCATGATCAGGGTATGCGCTGAGCAACTTTCCGAGCTATGTCTGTATACCGTGGAAGAACGCTGATACGAGACATCGGTGGCGCTCCCTTTTCTTCCATGTGTTAGACGCAGAGCCCATCTCTTCAGGCTGTCACCTTTATGGATCGAAACATGCCTGCAGCTCATATCTTCGATATCGTTGCAGCAGAAGAATCATTGTGTGAATGCCACCTTTGGCATCCAGCTTGACGAGGGGGTGGCCACTGGCTCGCATTATGCGGCTACGCATCCAACTCTTCGCGAAACGTGACAAACGTGACAGATGCGTAGATGCTGGGCAGCGCTGGGTGGAGTTTGGTTTTTTTCCAGAATCGTAAGCTCTTGGATGAGTGCAATGTGCACAATGAGCGACAGAACCCTACGATGGAGGCATGCTTGCCATGACTGGGCGTCACGCAGAACTGTATTCTGGGCCTGCGGCAGGTGCCCCGCATGCGCGTATACACTAAGTTGAGACTCGGTTCCCCATGGTTTGCATGTGTCCACAGCATTTTTGCTCTTCGAAGTGCTTCGGAGCTTTGAGATCTTTGAGGCACGCGGGCGGATGGGAATGTCATCATGTTCATGAACAGGCTGGCAACCGAGTCCTGTTCGCTGACCTGTTCCGCTCTCAGTAAATAGAGCCCCAAAAACTCAGGAGGTTTCAATGTCCACTAGCGCCTGCTTTCAGGACAACACACGATTAAAAACCAAAAGTAATGTCAGGCCGTTTCAGGTTCCTAAAATGCCACCCTGTCGTGCTTTTCTGCAAATGTTTGACATCGTTGCGGATCACGGGTAGAAATCGGGCTGCGCATCTGTCATCCCCAGTAGTCGTGCCACAAGACTTCAGTGAAGGGTTCCTGGACCCGACACCAGACGAGCCAGCAGACGGCCATGCCTGCTGTCACGCCATGCCTGCTGTCACGCCATGCCTGCTGTCACGCCACATGCCAATTTCTCTTCGCATCAAATTCGGAAAGTGTATCAATCATGGCAACAAGGGCGTGATAATTCTTGCCTGGCCGTCTGTCCACTGCTCTGCCCCAACTGGTGCTGGGACATACTACCAGGGAGCTGCCAAAATCAACAGCTTTCTGTGCTCCAGGCCGATTCGCCTTTGAGCTCAATTCTGCGAGCACCCTGACACGAGACGCGAACATACATGCACTGCTGCTAATGGCAAAGGAGGCATCCCGACCGAATCTGCCAGTCCGCGAAGACCGCACCACGAAGAGCGTAATCCCGCATTCAACGAATAAGTAGGATTCCATGGAAAAATATAGAAACTCGCCCGAAGGCATGGAGAGCGATGTTGACCTAAACCGGCTCATCCTACAGAGCATCACAGGACTGTGGCATCCTGTAGCATCGTGTAGGGTCGAGACTCGAGACAGTTGAACGACGTTGGAACATGTTACTGCAGTGAGACTCCTACTCGAGCGATCGCAGAAGAGCCCGTCCACATGGAAAGCACATAGCATCCTCATCGGTTCTGGATTTCGTAGAGGAACCTCATGCTCACGCGTGGTTCAACCTTCAGCCTGTTGATGCTGCAAGGATCTGTCCTGGTACATGCCGTTGTGTCATTGCAGAGCCTCTGCTGAGTGAGTTTACTGGGCTTATGTTCAACCGGCCCTTCCCTTCGATTGGTCCAGAACCGACTTGTGCCGAGAAACTGCAAAGAGACGACGAGACGACGCGACGACGCGACATGGGACACGAGATGAGGCTCGATGCATCTACTGCACCGTGCCATGAAGAGACCCGATCTGTCAGCTACTACCTGTCATTCTCCAACTTAAGCTGGTCGTCGCAATCCCTGGAGGCTGATGCTTCAGGCGGTAGCAGGACATCTGACTGAGACTAGTGATGGACCCTTCTGTAGTCTGTCCCCTTGCAGAAGACCAGGGTGCCAGCTTAACTTTGGGGGATCCGGGGGCGACAACCATTGAAGTCGGAAGGCTGGGTGCTGCCACGACCGGCGATGGTCGCACCACGTCCCACAGCAAAGCTTCAATTTCGCGAGTTCTCTCGACGAAAACGAGGCCGCTGGTTGCAGTATGCGAGAATGACAACTTGCAGTACAAGTCTGAACCATTCTGAACCTGCTCAGCACCCGACTATCAAAACAGTGACGATCATGGGAGTGCGCTCTCCCTACTGCCCTCTGCGAGGAAGCGAAAATCGAGTTCATCGCTTGCTGGCCTCGTGTCGGAGAAACGACATCACAGTTATCACAATCCGTTGTCAACTGTCGCAAGCTTCACAATTCAAACCCTCTCCTGGCTAACGCCGCGCCTTACCCGGACTCTGACCTTGAAAGCAAGCCGAGCGTAGCAGCAGCCTCGGTGCAGGATTCCGGAGCCCTGCAAAAATAACTCGTCCTAGTACAGCATGGCCTGAAGGTCTCGAGCATGACGTTGCTCTACGCGGATTGCGAGCCAGATTCAACCATCGAGCACTGTGTTGCTGATTACATGAGAAGTTCTCAAGGGTGGTCAAGAGCTAGAGCATCTGATGGTAAGCACCCTATGCACCCTACATTCCCCACACATGATTCGGTTCATGTCAGAGCTGAGTCATGAGCTCAATCCGTGATGGGGTCGCAGTTCCTAGCCCCGGCCCCCAACCCCAATCCAGCAGAGCTTCCAGGTAGTATCCCATCTTTTGCACACTGAAGGCATTCACGCGAACACCCTTCATGTAGAAGCCAGCTTGGCTCTGGATGATGTACTGGACCTAAGTGAGCCAAGCATGCCCTTGCGGGGAGCGCAACAGCTTTGCTACAAGCCATAAGCTACAAGTCTGTTGCAGGCGAAAGAGGGGCGCAACTCTGCCCCGCGAAGTTCTTCTCATTTGTTCCACAAACTGGTCACTTGAGAAACATCTTTTTGCGAGCCCCCTGAAGTTTAACTGGAGCGGAGGCTGCGGAAGCAACGAGGCGGCAAGCCGGAGTCGCAAAGAAAACATCCTGCCGACCATTCCACCAAGCAAAATCAAGTTTTTGGGTTGTGGCTCCTGGCTGGGTCTTGTGTGCAGTCAAAGCCACCACGTACTGTCTGTCGGTGTCCATCCACAACCTGAGATGACCAGCACTCACGTCGGGCTTGAGGCTT